CAAATCAAATCATTATAGGCAATTAATTTAGTTGTTAGTATTTTGAATGAAATTGATAAAACACATATTTTTTACATTATTTAGAAAAGAAAATTTATTACATTTCGTATAAATGTGGAATGATGAAAACGCATTATTCTTAATTTAAATATGATTAATTTGACTGATTTTTACTAGATGCACCATTAAATATTGCTACCATTAATAATATCTGCATGGATTGTTAATAAATTATATATAGCTGGGTTAACTTATTAAATAAATTAAAGACTGAAAAAAAAGTTGAATTAGAAGTATACTAGAAAAAGATAAATAGCAGAAGATAGAGTAATTATTAGTTAATTAAAAAAATAGATTTGTGATGTTGGGCACTTTTGCAATTTTTTTTTAATAATATATATAAAATCTATAATAATTTATTTATGACAATTAAGTCATTAATTTAGTTTATTTGAAGAATTTATGATTCTTATTTCTATCTATATATATCTAATCATATTGTTTTTTTAAAGAATCTATCTGGCACAAAAGAATTTTGATAATCACATTCTTCAACATTTGATCATATCATATTCCTTACAAAGTAAGCATTCCTGATTAACAAAATTCAAATATTAAATTGAGAACTAAATTATTTATCCCAGAATTAAAATCGAAAAATTAAGTTCAAAAATCTTAAAGTAATTCAAGAGAAAATAATCAATTAGGGAATTCTCAAATAATGGAGTTTATAATAGCATAGCATGTATTAATAATACTATATTTGGCATTTCTTTATACCTCTATTTAATATATTTTAAATAATTAGTATTTTAGAATAAATTAATTATTTAACTGAAATGCCTTATAATTAAATTTATCTCTGATGGAATTTTAATTATTGAACTACTCAATTAACACTGGCTAGAGTGAGTTTGTAGTACATAAAACATTTTATTAAGATTCTTAGTTATTGATATTTGTATTTATTCATGAGTTGAGAAATCTTTATTTCTAATCATTTCTTTTTCAATAAATATTAAGTTCTTCTTAAAATAAAATCCATATTATTTAGATAAAATTCATAGAATTTATGTTATTTTCATTTTATATGAATAAACCTGTATAAATAATCATACTTAAAAAAAAATATCAATAATGCGATGTAGCCATTTATCAATAATTATTTAATAAGAATAAAATAGAAAATATGCAATATTTAATTTAGCCTTGTTGCCTCTAATATGGAGAAACTTCTAATCCAATTATAAATAATAACTATGTATCAAGTACATGATAAACATTTTTATAATAATAATCTTCATGTAATTCCATAATTGCAAAAGTATATCACAATTTATCCCTAATAATTCAATAAATTTTTTAGAATGAAGATAGTATTTTCTAAAAAAATGCATATGACTAAGAATATTAATAATATTCAAACAAATAAGCATTACATTTTATTATTTAATATCAATCTAAGCATAATTAGCTTTTGAATGTTAAATGAATTATTATTATTCAAGAAGTAAATTCCATTTTTTATTTTATTTCTAAATTCATCAATAGAATCAAAATTAGCACATCAATTTTTAATACTAGGGTATAAATAATTTTTAAACTTAATAAATAGATATAATGACAAATTTTATGAAAAATTAAAAGATAAATTTCATTTTACATTAACATTCTATAATTTCATTCTAAATATTAAGACCAGCTAATATATACCTTCTAAAATAGTTTGACATTATCTTTAAGTTGTATTAAAATCAGGATAAATTGTAAATTTAGATGCTGTATCAATTACAATAAATTTATTTTGTTGTATTATTTACATGTAAAACATTAAAAATCTGAATAACAGGACATTGAGTAACAAATTATACTTTGAATTATGTAAGTAGCACTTAAAATTTGAATTTACTATAAAAGCCTGCATACATTCTCAAAACTTATTATAATCATTACATATTGTTCAATATAATTGACATCTTTCAACATAATAATTTAATTCTTAATATAAAATGTAATTGCACTCAGATTTAATAATAAATTTATTTATATTTCTATTATATATTTATTAATTTATTTCAATATTACTGTAAGAAGAGTTACTTATTATTCACTCTTTTTTAAAGTGAAACTAATATATTGAATTAAAATTTGTAGTATGCTATTTAATGTATATCATTAATTGCCAGTTTCAGTGTTAATATTATTCAAAATTCATTATTATGATTATGGTATGCTATGTTGGAAATAAATAGACAATAACTTTAGATTCTCATAGGAGATCCTCTAAATATCACGCACCTTCTTAGATAGTTTAATCAATACATAACGGAGGAACTACTGTTCCAACAGTCGAATGCACTTAGCTTACCCTATTACTGAATGATAATTAACTTAATGAATAGGCAGTTTTATTCTAGGTAGAAGTTAATGATTATTATTTAAAATTTTGATTTATCAACAACATTAATAGCAAATAAATTTAAAAACTTGGCAGGTGAAGAAAAATAGTCATTTGGATAATTTAAAGATGAGTATAAATTTTTTATTATATCTAAAGGGTTAATTTATTAGTATCTGGTTATGGAGATGTCTCTCTAACATTAACTAAAATATTACCAGATAGTAATAACAATTTATTTAAACTTATTCCTAATAAATTACTATTTACATAAAGTAAATATTCTAAAATTTTATTTGTAGTTTAATATTAATTAATAAAGAATAATAATCAATTTGTGATTAAAAATTGTTTAAAAATAACACCAATTAATATATATATTGAATTGTACGAGCGGATGGCATAAAAATAGAATTAACTAATGATGTAACTCCGTAAATAAAACTTATAATTTAAAATAGTTAAATGGATAAAGAAGTAGGAAAAAATAATACCTATGATTCATTAGAAGAATGTGGTTAAAATATAAGTCAATATCAATTTCAAATATATAATTATTATAGCTCTAAAAAACAAGGAATTGGAGATAATGGAAGAATATCATTAGAATTTAATTCAAAAGCAGCTATGCTAGAGAAGTAATTTAAGGACATGCAGTTGCAAATTAATTAGGAGTGACTAGAGAGTAATTTGATTCTACAAAAGGTATTCTTCCAACTTATTCTGAATTAATTAATAAATATAGAAACTTATATAGACAACAGCTATTAAAGGAATAGATGATGCTTATGAAGTTAAATCCTCGGGCCTTTTTGGCTAGGGAATGTTTTCAATGAAAACTCTACCTAACCTTTAAGAGAAGCATTCTGAGATTGATTTTAAGGAAGAAAGACATTTGTTTGTTTAAAATAAATAACAAACTTAATGAAACATTCATTTAAAAAATAAAGAATAAATAAATTTTGATAAAGGTGTTTTTTGGAATTGAAATTTATTAAAGAGTATTTCTCAAATATATATATAAATTATTTTAAGATAATAAAATCATAATTATTTTAAGATAAACAATATGAATCTATCAATTTAATAGTTTTCCAAGTTGTTTTCTTCCTTCAATAACTAAATTATTTTGATTTCCCAATTGAGCAAATAATTCTATCAATTTTTTTTAAGCCTTTCTGTCAGCCCAATTTTTATCCATTTAACAATCTTAAATAAATTTAACATATTACATGTAAAAGTGTTTAAATAGCTTTTTCATAATTTTTTGCATTTAGAGCTTCCATAGCTAAATCAAAATAAAGATCTTTATCTTATGGATTATCATTTAATCTTTCTAAAATTCTTTTAATTTCAGGTGTTAAAGATGATAATTCTTTAATTACATTACATTATTCTTTGACGAATTTATAGAATTTTTTTGTATCCATATCTTCTAAATCAACTTTATATTCTTTATCAAATAAATCTATAGTTTCTTAAATTTTATTTAAATCTTCCATTAAAACATATGCTAATGCTTTAAATAATAAATATTTTGGATGATCTTTTTTAATATTTTCGCTTGCTAGTGCTTCTGTTGTTAATGTTAATAGTCTTTAATGATTTCTACTTTAAAATAATTAAGCCATTTATTCCAATATTATTTCTTCAACATTTTCACCTCTTAATATTCTTGATATTTATTCAACGATAGCCATAAATCCATCAAATTTTTCATTTTAAAAATATCCATCCACAAATTAATTATTATATACTGCACCAGCAAATGGTACTGAATTAATTTATAATTAAGTGATTAGATTTGGATGTTTATCAATATCAATATTGATTATTGTTGAAACATCTGAATATTATTCCATGTTTTTAATTAATACTTCTTTAAAATTTTTACATTCTAAAGACCTTGAGGCAAAACAATAAACAATTATAATTTTTTAATCGCTTTCTTAAACTAATTAACTAAAATGATCTGTATCAATAACTTCTACATGCTATAATTTATTATCCACTGCAATATCATCATTAAATTATTACGCTTAATTTTTTAGTTTATTCATGCTTTCATCTGGGAATTTTGAATTTTATTGACTATAAATATATAAAGCTGGAGTATAAAATTTAGCCCTTCTAAAGATTGGAGTCCTAAATAGTTTTCTGATCATAATTAAATTATATTAAGAAAAAACTAATTAAAGCAGAAATAAAAACAAGAAACCCAATTCAGATGCAAGTAAATTCTTTATGACATATTTTTTTTCATTGTATAAAAGTGTTAAAATAATTTAATTGTAAAAGGTATATACGAAAATTAAAATATTGACTTAAGGATATAAAGTTAAAGTAATCTAATAAAACACTATTAATTAGGAGATTTATATATAAATAAATAATAATAAATAATGTCATATAATATTTTTGATTATGAAAAATATTTATATAATAAATCATCATGTAATCCATAAATGAGGATTAAAGTTTTTTTATTAAATATAATTTATAAAAAAAGTGTTGTATAAATTATTAGAGAAATAGAATATTGGAAATAGTAAATTTATATTAGTAATAATAAATGTATTGATTCAGAATTGTGGATTCTGTAGAAATATTATTTTATTATTTAATGAAAGAATTATAATATATATTTTGTTATTTAAATCTTTTTGCAATTCAAAAAGCCACATTTTAATTTGTCGATCAAAAACAAAGTTTTGCTAGAAGAGGCAAACTAAGAGCTATTGAATAATAAATCTAAGATTAATGGGCAGTCAATTAATCCTTCTCATCAAATCCAGATGAAAGAAAGAAAATTTTTCTTGACTTTTCAATATTCTATTAGGTTAATGGAAGATTTCATTTA